AGGAGATGTGGGGGATGGGGTTGGGAAATAGGGAAGGTGAGGGACTATAGGGAGCAAACAGTGAATGTGGGAGTGGGGAGCATTAGAACTGATTGTGATTATAAAAGTATTTTTAAAAGTGATTTAACCTTGGAAGTATATGATATGTGAATACTGTATCAAGAAACCACAAGAAAAAACAAACAAAAAAAGAAACCAAACTTGACCAATGGTTACCATGGGTGGAGGGGCAAAAATTGTTGAATAGGGAACATTGAGTTTCTGTCAATTGTGGTAGAATAATTTGGAAAAGGATATCAATCATGCAATAATGGTTGTACAACACAAAGTATAATCAATGACACTGAATTATACAAGTAGAAGTCATAGAATTAGAGAGTGTTCTGTTGTGTATATTCTTGCCACAATTGTAAAAAAATAATAATTATCTGAATAACAGGTGACTACAAAGAAGAAAATGTTCTAAAATGGAGTGACAATTGTACAACTCTTTTTGATATAATTGAATTAATGAATTGTATGATATGTTGATGAAGTGCTAATAAAAACTTAAAAAAAAAAAGTTTGACCAATCATGAGAATAGCAATACCAGGAGGGTAAGGAAAAAGTTGGGGGAGAATGGAGGAACCGATTACAAGGATCTACATATAACTACTTCCCTGGGGGATGGACAACAGAAAAGTCGGTGAAGGGAAACATCGGTCAGTGTAAGACATGGCAAAATAATAATTTATAAATTGTCAAGGTTTTGTGAGGGAGGGAAGTTTGAGGAGGGGGGCGAAATGAGGAGCTGATATCAAGGGCTCAAGTAGAAAGAAAATGTTTTGAAAATGATGACAAAAAATGTACAAATGTGCTCGACACAATGGATGGATGTATGGATTGTGATAAGGGTTGTATGAGTGCCCAATAAAAGGATTAAAAAAAAAAGTTTTGGCTTTTCAGGATTTTAGTGAAAGAAAAACAAAACTGTAAAGAACAGTTTGACTCTATCACTCACAGGGTTGTCCTAAATTGGAATTAGATGGTTAAAAGTTTGGATTCTTTCATTGTTTCTAAAGTTCTTCTTGTACAGCAAAAAACAACTTAGGGATTTTTTCCCACATCTCTTCCTTTTTCCCTAAAAATGTTTTTTTTTTTTTTGCTATTGTTGTTAAGATACTTGTTTTTTAGTTGTTTATCTAAGACAACCACGACTTCTTACAATCTGTTCTCTCTCGTCCCTAACTTCCACAGATATTTTTATCTGTGCTTCACATACTGAGATGAATGATGATTCTCTTCCCCCTTTTGAAGTTAATAAGGTATAACACCAAGCTATTTTCACAAGATGCCTCTGATTAGGAATGATCAGTAATACTGTTATATATGAGTCATGATTTTTCAACTGTAAAATCATTTTTAACTATACATTGATTTTTTGGTTACAACTCAATGTTTCAGTAGATGAATTGTGAATTCATCACCTCAATCAACTTTCTAACATTCTCTTCATTCTTAAATCTATTATTATTAGCACTGTTTCCTCCAAACCTCCTGTTATAACAACAAAAAACCCTATCAGTCAAGTTGTTGTCTCTATAACCTGAGATTCAAATAAAACTAATTTAAATATGTATATATATTGATTTTTAATTAACACTTGAATGGTCAATATGCTAGATTATGTTCTGTAAATGTTTGCTATTAGAACTTAGTAAATTAGTCTTCACAGAGTCCTCCAGGGCTAACTATAAACTTCATAGTCACTAGAGTTGACATTAAATTGTTACCTAACATTTCGGTTCACTAACGGCCAGTAATTTATGCTATTCCGGAAATGACACAATTAACAAATTGACCCTAAAACCGAACAAAAACATACGCATAGTAAATGGTTTATTGATAACACAGTATATGTTTATGACACTACCTGGTCAATATTTTGTCCTTATTTAGCAAAGCACAGCTCAATGAACTAACCTATCTCCCTGAAAATAAGACAGTGTCATATTAATTTTTGCTCCCAAAGATGTGCTAGGTCTTATTTTCAGGGGATGTCTTATTTTTCCATGAAGAAGAATACGGTACACATTTATTGTTGAACAACAAAAAAGGAAATGTATTACCTGTATATGGTACGGTAGTAGTTGTCTAGTTGTCATCACAAACCAGCATAACCAGACAAACTGAATCCTACAGTATCAAGAATTTCTTGTTAGTACTACCATTATTTCCATGTACAACAATCTATGGTACATTTACTCATTTATTCAATGACAGTCATGTCATCATCTTCTGGAACACCATCATAACAATCCAAACCCTTATTTTGGGGGAGGTCTTATTTTCGGGGGAGATGCCTTATATTTCAGCTAGAGGCAAAACTGTAAGTAGGTCTTATTTTCAAGGGATGTCTTACTTTCTGGGAAGCGGTATGTAAAACTGCAGTGACTGCAGGGCATTAGCACAAATATTCTCATCAATCCATGATCAAACAACTGTGAGGCACTAGCCCAGATGGGATGCGTCACCTTTTCAAAATAAACCTGTACATTTATTACATGCCAGCATTAAATACCGGGGAAGCAAAAATTAAATCACATTCTCTCTATTCAAGATATTATGATCACCTGAAAGATGAGCCTGTCTTCTCCCAAAGAGGTTCACAAAGCAAAAAAAAAAACCATCGCAAAGCTCTGGAAACACTATATTGGGTCGTTATGGGTCTGATAGTCTTGGGTAGGTAATTGGACAGCTTCCAATCATCTAACATCCGCTGCGATCCCACTGGGAGCCGCTAGGGTGAGAGGAGAGCGCCATCCCTTTCATCGATCCCTAAGTGGAATCTTGGCCATTGCACAGCACCGCCCTGTCCGCCCCTGCTGGAGGGGCGACGTGCACACAAAGACGGGTTCCTGGTCGACGGGCTCTGCGCGCACACTCCGCAGGGC